CACACAAGGAAGCTTCCTTCAGAGCTGATTGAGCAAGCAAAAAGAAAGTCAGTCTTGGGCCTGCCGCATGCTCGGTTGCTCCCCAGAGAAAAGTAGTGGGTCCAGTTCTTTTCACACAGCTTTGCACATTTGAGCATGTAGCACTGACATTGGCTCAGTTCTCATATCAACCTTCGTGTTGACAGAGTCCCAAAGTGGCACATGGAATTGAGTGGCAAGGGACAGGGAGCAATGGTTGTCTCCGTGTCTGGTCTCTCCCTCTTCATATAAAACCAATAGGGTTCAATCATGGGGCCCTCCACTAATGATTTTATCTAATCCTAACCACTGCCCAAGGGCCTCTCCTCCCAACAACTGCATGGAATTAAGTTGCCACCCTCTTAATGCCATTAACAGATGATTTTGGAGGTTAAACTACATGACTGGGACTTCAGTGTGGGGCGTTCACCCGAAGACATCAGGCTTTAGTTGGGCAAAGCTGGGGAAGAGGCAAGGATCAAGAATTTAGGCAGAAAAAATAGATATTCTCATTCTGTTTCTGCCTCCCTCCCTCCCTCCCTCCCTCCCTCCCTAGTAAATATGAGATTTGCCCTCTTAAGCACTCTTGAATGGACAGTCCAATAGCATCAGCTGCATCCACGCTCTGTGCAACTCTCACTACTATCTATCACAACAATTTGTCTTCTTCCCAAACCTCAACCCTGGACCCACTCAGCACTAACTCCCCCTTCCAGCTCCTCCAGGCCATGAAAACGCCCATTCTATGTTCTGTTTCTATGAGTTTAATAACTAGGCAACTTATATCAGTAGAATCAAACAACTTTTTCCTTCCTGTATCTGGTTGATTTCACTTAGCCTAACATCCATGTTGAAACATGTATCAGAATTTCCTCTTTTCTAAAGCACTCTTGTTCAAAGCTGAATAATATTCCATTATGTGAGTCACAATGTGTTTATTCAGTCATCTCTCAGTGAGCACTTGGGTTGCTTCCAACTCTGCCTGTTGTGAATAATGCTTCTGTGAATATGAGTGTGCAAAGATCTGTGATCTTTGCTTTCAGTGGGTTCTTTGTGTGTGTGTGTGTGTGTGTGTGTGTGCATGTGTATATACATATGTGTACATGAGTATACCCATGGGTGTACAGGTCAGAGGACAACCTCAGGTATTATTCCTCAAGTGCCTTTCTATTTTTTGATTGGCACATGGTCTTTCATTGGCCTGGAACTTCACCAAGTTAGGCAGACTGGCCAGTGAGCTCCAGAGATCCACCTGTCTCTGCCTCCCATCTCTCTATCACTGGAATTACAAGCATGCACTGCTGTGCCAGCTTTTTATGTGGGTGTGTCACCATGAGTGGCCCAGCCCTTGAGTATTCCTGAGCAGCCCCGAAGACTCATGGCAGACAAAGGCCTACTACTTTGCTTAGACTTGAATTTGAACTGGACACATGGAGAGGTCAACCTTTGGGAATCATTCACTCGCAGATGAGCCAGGCTGGCGAGCTGCCTGGTGTCCTCTGAGAGGTGTTGCCACCTGCTGCTTGTCCTTATGGGGTGACTTTTGTGAAATGGTAAAACTTTGGTGACTGTGTGGATGTGTGTGTAAAATGCCCCCCTGAAGAGACCCGACTGCTAGAACGAGTGATGGAAGGAAAAGAAAGTAGAGACGCTTCTGGAACTGCTGGTTCTTATGGGATGCATGAGAAAGCGACCTGCCAACTGCGCAGTAGCCCTGCCATACAAACATGCCACTACACCAAGATAGAAACGAGCAACATGGATTTATAACATGTTACCAAGTGCCACAGCCAGCAGCAGACTTGCTCATTAAAAGAGAAAACTTCGGAGAAGCTTGTAAAAGTGGCCCAGGAGGAAGCACGCCACAGACGTTTCCAGGAGGGAATGGAGCAGAAGGGGAAAGCACCCTCGTGGCTGTTAGACCAAGCTTATTCTCAAGTAAGAACTTGTTTGAAAATTTTAAGACATGCTTTTCTTGGCAAAAGGCACAGTTCATAGGAATAATCAGGCCAGCTGCCTGACTCCTGGTGGACAGGATTCTTCCTAAGCTCCAAAACCCCACAGGGGTACAGAGGCACAGGCCTGCTGTGCTGGGAGTGTTGTTGCCCAAGGGATGCATCTCTCTTCTCAGGCTGGGCATGAAAGAGGCAGTCAGAGAATAAGCAAAGAATCCAGCAAAGAAGGTCTCCAAGAGCCGAGAGAGAGGGGCGAAGATGGGCCAGTGAGATGGCTCAGCAGGTAAAGGTGCTTGCTGCTAAATCTGATGACCTGAGTTTGAACCCCCAAACCTACATTGTGGACGGAAAGAACCCATTCCTCTAAGTTGTCCTCTGACCTTCACATGCACACTGTGGTATCCCCTCAACCCCCACTAAATAAATAATTGTAACTTTTTTTTAAAGAAAGGCAAAGGTGAAGAAAGAGAAGGGAGCTGGGCTGCTCAGAGCACCATGGAGTGCTGTGGTCTGCCCTGCTGATGACACAGCCAAGCCATTGTAGTCTGCAGACTTCCCCTCTCATTGGCACTGTGCCAGAAAACAGCCGCAACATTAGGAAAGGAAAGAGAGACTAGCGGGATAGTTAACTGTGTTCCAGACTGTGCAAAGGAAGCGAAGGAAGAGAAAATAACAATCAAATGGCGAATGCAAAGGAATGTAGTAAAGTCAGGTGCACACCATGTGAACTCCTATTTCTCCAAACAGCGGTCCTTAAAGGGCCACTGCAGTCAGGGGCTCCAGGTTGCAACTTCGGTCTAGAATTAGCCTTCGTGTTAGAATTAACCTTCATCATCAAGAGCAGCTTTAGTCTTCCCTAGAAAATAAGGAAGGAAACAGATGAACTCACTCGTGTAGTTAGTAAATCAGACAACTGCACTGCAAGGTAATACAATTTTAAGGCTATGAAGCTGACCACACATAACGAAGTTGTAAGTCACCAGGCATAGTAGTGCATGCCTTTAATCCCAGCACTTGGGAGGTACAGGCAGACAGATCTCTGTGAGAGATTGAGGCCAGCCTGGACTACATAGTGAATTCCAGGCCAGCTGGGGCTATAAGAAGACCCTGTCTCAAAAAGACCAAAAAAAAAAAAAAAAAAAAAGTTGTAAGTCAAATGTTCAATTAAGGGCTGGAGAGATAGCTCACCAGTTAAGAGCACTGGTGGGACCTGAGTTTGGTTCCCAGCACCCACATGGCAGCTAACAGCCATTGGTAACTCCCATTCTAGGGTATCCGGTGCCCTCTTCTGGCCTCCATGGGTATTGCATACATGTGATGCAATTACATACATGCAGGCAAAACATTCCTATGCATAAAACTTTTTTAAAAAAGTTCATTTGAGGCTGCTGCCTCCTGCTGCTGCTCCTGGTGCTGCTTGTGTGCTCCTCAGTGTGGACCTGGTATGTCTTTTGTGAAACGGCAGCTGAGGAGACTCAGGTGCTTTCTATGGCTAACGAGAACCCAAGGAAGGAGTCAAGACTGAGAACAACAATCATATTAATTTGAAGATGGTGAAGTTTAAGATTAAGAGACACACACCACTTAGTAAACTAATGAAAGCCTATTGTGAACGACAGTGTTTGTCAATGAGGCAGATTAGATTCTGATTTGATGAGCAGCCAGTGAGTGAAACAGACACACCCGCACAGTTGGAAACGGAGGACGAAGAGGCAGTTGATGTGTCCAGCAGCAGACAGGCGGTGTGTGCCTAAAGGAAACCTGCTACTTTTCTCCAGAATTTTGTTGTAGACCAAGAATACATTCTCAATTAGAAAGCTGCAATTTGGTTCCATCGCATCTTGACGACTACAGTAGTTTTCTCTATTCTTTGATTTTCCCATCCCATTCCTTTCTTGGACATAACGTAACTGGAGTATGTGCACAGGCATATTGTGCTTTTTTCTTTTTAAATCTAAATGGTCGGTGTTCTATTTCGGTTGATATCAGATGGAGATGGGATGGGAATGCGCTGTTTCTGTGAAAACCTCCCGTTCTCCCTTAGTGGCGTGCTCCGTCAGCGCTTATTCCAGTAAGTTATTTTGCTGTTCTTGTTTAACAAAAAAACAACAACACAGAAATCCTTGCATACCTTGTTTGATTGGAGAATTTTAATGCTTTTCATTTATCATTGTAAAACCAAGGACAATTTTATAATTTTTTTGTACATAGCTGTTATATGTTGGGCAATCTGTCTTTAAGTATGGGTAAATTACTCTTGAAAGAAAACGAATCCTAGATAGTTTTCCCTTCAAATCAAGCATCTTATTTAAATAAACTTCTTGTTTAAAATGAAAATAAAAAGTTCATTTGAAAGGAAGGCTGAGGATGGGTGTGCACATCTATAATCTCATCACTCAGGAAGCTGAGACAGGAGGATCTCAAGTTTGAAACCAGTCTGAGCTACATAAACCCTGCCTCTAAAGAATAAAGAGGAGGGGAAGGGAGACTGCTGTTGTCCATGCCTTTTGCTGTTCTGGTCTGGTTTTTGTTTTAATGCCCCTGAAAACAAGAAACAGGTCTTTTGTGTAGTCAATTTTTTCCCCCTGAAAATCAATAGACTTGCTATGGACAAGGAAGGTTGACAGATAAGTGTTTGCCCTGAGGATCTGGGCACAGGTCCCTGAGCACCATGGCTTCGGAGGTGAACTCTATACCGAGACAGGATGGGAATACTATTGCTGACATGTTTCTTCTTCAGGAGAGAGGAGGGAGGCTTTGACCCTACACCTCCCTTTTGAGGACTTTGGAAGTCAAATGCTTCTTTGGGGATTCCTAGCTCCCAAACAATCTAGGACTCAGTGTTTTCTATACCACATTCTTTGCTCAGAAGCCACATTAAATAAAGGGGACTGGGGTGTGTTGTGGGTGATGGGGACATAAAAATAGGCAGAGGTTAGAAATGTACCATTAAAGCTTGGGAGAAATGACCCTGGAGACTCCCAGATTCTTGCTGCTCTGATGACCTCTGTCACATTATTTCTGCAGGTCATCACAGCTGGTTTGTCACTTCTGCTGTTTGACATGATTCTGACCAGCGCAACCATAGGATGGTGAGTCTTGTGCAGAGAGGGGAAGCGCACGTTCATGGGAATGTTCATTGGGTACTAGACTTGGGCACAGGGCCTTAACTTGCTAGGCAAGCACTCTTCACTGAACATCTCCAGCTCATTCTATGTTTTGGGGGTATTTTTTGAGACAGGGTCTCACACTGTAGCCCAGGCTGGCCTCAAACTTGTATCAATCCTCCTGCCCCTGCCTCCTCTGTGCTGGGGTTGCAGGTGTGTGCAACCATGGCCTACTTATTCATTTTTTAGCTGTTATTGATGTGTGAATTTACATTCAGAAGAGTTCATGTAATGTTCTCACACAACTCATATAATATACGGTACTGAAGATATACCCGCACATTATATACAGCCTGATAAGCTTTTACGCTAACCAGCGTGCCATTCGGATCATCATCACAGCCCTTCGGCCACTTAGCATAACAGAGTTGCCACTGTTGGTTACTCACCATTACTCCCTTGGTGTCGGGGAGCGGGGTTGCCTATTCCAGAAACCCTTACAGGCACCCAAGCCCACAGGTATTTATTCAAGTTTCTTACATGAAGTGCTATAGTGTTTATATATAACTTGTGCACAACCTTAATATGCTTTTAAATCATCCCCAGATTACTTAGCTTTGCCCAAGTACAGCCTCATTCTGCAAAAAAATTGATTTTTCTTGTTGTTAGCATCAGAGTAACCCTAATAACTGCCCTCTATCACCCACGCCACTCCTTCTGGTTTTGTTTTTATTTCCGCATTTGTTTGAAAATGGGGCCTGCTGGCCGCCTGTTTGACTCTGGACCACAGTACCAGAAGGTGTGGCTGTTCCTGCTGCCTGGGGGCGCCCCATCTGTTGTCTCCCATGGATAATGCTCCATATCCATCCATCATTATCATGGATGCTGTCATGGAAACAATGGAAACAATGGCGCTACATCTAACATCAGTAGGAGATTCCTGTGGGATGCACATGAGGGGCAGGACTGCAGCCCTGTGGAATGCCAGGATGGGGAGTCCAGGGGGTGAACTTGCATCTTGTGTGGCCTTGTATTGGGAGGGCTTCATTCAGTATATGGATATTTATCGCGAGCTTAGTATGTGTCAGGGACTATTCTCAAGTAAAAGTCAGAACTTGCTGCTGCTGTGGTGTTTATAGTTGTTCATTTCCCTTTGGAAGGCAAGCCCTTGTCTAAATCATCCCAGACTGACAGAAAGGAGCCTTTTTGCTTACATTGCTCAGAAAAAGGAATTCCCAACTTTTCTCAGGGCTGCAAAGGGAAATAACAGTGAGGAAACTCTCACACCTTCTTCTTCCTCCTCCTCTGCTCTGTCTTCTTTTTCTTAACTAACCATTTAAAGTTCTGGGGAGATAGCACAGTCCATAAAGTACTTGCAAGAGGATCCGAGTTCAATCCTCAGCACCCATGTTAAAAAAAAAAAAAAGCTGGGCACAGTAGTGTGTACTTGAGATCCCAGCCCTGGGAAGAAAGCCAAGATAGGTAAGCAGATCCCTGGGGTTTGCTGGCCTAGCCTGCACTCAGCAATCCAGGTCAGTGAGAGATGCTGTCTTAAAAATAAGGTGGATGGGGGCTGGAGAGATGGTTCAGAGGTTAAGAGCACTGACTGCTCTTGCAGAGGACGCGGGTTCAATTCCCAGCACCCACAGTTCCAGGGGAATCTGAAGCCCTCTTCTGACCTCTGTGGCATTGCACAACATGGGTGCACTCACATACATGCAGGCAATACACTCATACACATAAAATAAAAATAATAAATATTAAAAAAAGGTGAATTATCAAGGTTACCCTCTGTCCTTCACACGCATGTGCACACAATGTATGTACACACATGCATTCATACACACAAGCACACTATATCAAGTCCCACACATATATACACTCTAACCATCTATAGAGAGGCCACTGCACTTGTGACATTTTTACCTTAATATCTCACTTTTTACAATTTTTGTTTTGTTTTGTTTTTTTGAGATATGAAGCCTTGGCTGGGCCTGGAACTTGTGGTATAGACCAGGCTAGCCTCAAACTTACAGAGACTGGCCTGCCTCTGCCTTCTGAGTGCTGGGATTAAAGGCATGTACCACCATGCCTGGCTCACTTTTATGATTTTAAAAATGAAGAAACTAATCGCTTCTTGGCCTTTTGGCTAAGATCAAGTTTACTATCTGTTCTTATCAGTTTAATATCTGATATGTCCTCTATCTGAGGACAATATATTAAATGGATTTTTGGAACTAGGAATTGGGATAGGAGCTTGCTCCGTCCACTCCACGCATCAACCTGGTATTGCAGTACTTCCAGGGACGGTACCACCCCCTCGGGGATCTGAAGCTGTTATAAAAAAGAAAAACTACCAAAACAGTGTTGTCAACACTTATTGAAACATTTTAAAAATGAAGAAGCTAAGATTCAGAGACATTTAAGTGACTTTTTTTTTTTGATCAAGGATTTCAGGGCTATGAGGTGGTCATACTAGAGTTCAGACCTGAGCCTCTGTGTCCAAAGGCCCATAGCCTTCCAGAACTAACTTGAGCACAATAAGTGCTCATCAGCAGGGCCAACAGTGTGCAAGGCATCTGTCTGCTCATGAGGGAGACATGGGAAATGTTTCTCTCCCTGCTGTATGATGCTAATCTAAATCCTTGACAGTATTTTTCTTTCTTCACATGGGCCTTGAGATCTTGTATAGAATTTCAAAATGAACAAAGAAACCCAGGTGTTAAACTGATCATGAGAAATCAGAGTGAGACAACTCTGGAGTGAGGAAACGCCAAATCAGACTAGGAAAGAGGCGGGTGTCTGGAAGAGACTGTGTCTCCAGACTGCCACACTTCCTGTGGATTTAAGGGTATGCCTGGAAGAAAATGGAAAGAAAGGCCATGTGTGCCCAGATCCAGGAAGCAGCATGTGTGCCAACTGTAAAAGGAACCTTGACTTTGGAATTTCCTGGAGTTTTAGAACTCTTGAGGTTAAGGATGGTGTTTTCAGCCTCAAAGAATTTTCCAACCACAAAGTGCACAACCCAAAGGGGTGTGTCAGGCTGTAATTCCAATTTCTGTCTTGCACTGAGGTGGTTGCCTGGTCCATACACTGGGCAAGTTCAAGCATGGCTAAGTGACCAGTTCTCAGGTCCTAGACAGGAATGACTGGTCTTTTGTCTCCTGGAAATTTAAACTAATCAGAAGTCACAAAGGGCTTGGGCTGCAGGTTTGTTGTTGGTTTTAAAAAATTTTTTTAGACTTACTATGTTTTCCTGTACAGTTACTGTTTCTTGTGTTTTGCTTTTTAAATTTTAAATTAGTCACTAGCATTTAAACATTTAAATGCTAGTGACTAATTTAATGTAGTTTCCTCTTACAAATCCAGATTTCCAGATTCCTTTGAAAACGGGGAACAGCTGTGAGTGAATGTTGCCCCTCTGCTCCCATGAGGCAGCTGTTAGTTGCTGGGGTGAACAGGAGTTGCCCTCCCAAGTGCTCTCGGCCTCTGCATGGTCAGCCCCATGCCTGGGATGCTTATCTACATTTTGGGAAGGGCAGCAGCCTAGCTGACCAAAATTCAATGAAAGTAGGGTTGTGAGTCGGCAAGATGGATCAGCAGTAAATGAGCCTGCTGCTAAGCCTGACGACCTGAATTTGATCACTGGAACCATGATGGGAGGAGAGACCCTACCCCTGCACGTTGCCCTCTGATCTCCACATGCATGCCGTGGCATGTGCACACCCATAACCACCCTCCCCATCCCCAAAATAAATAAATATAAAAAGTAAAAATCGGGGCTGGAGAGATGCCTCAGCGCTTAAAAACACGGGTTCGAATCCCAGCACCCACATGGCAGCTAACAACTGTCCATAACTCCAGTCCCAGGGGATCTGACAGCCTCTTCTGACCTCCTGGGGCATTGCAGGCAATACATGCATACACATAAAATAAAAAAATAATAAATAAGTAAAAATCAAGTAGGGTTTCTCATCCTTGGTGCTAATGATATTTAGGGCCAGATAATTCTTTGTTGTGGAAGTGCTGTCCTGTGCCTTCTTGGATCTCAGGCAACAAACCTGACTCTGGCCACTAGATGCTGGTGGCACCCCTCACTTCATTGGAAAATGTCTTTAAGATATTGCAGGTTGGGAGGTGGCCAAAACTGCCACCTTTGGAAATCCTTGGTCCCAGGGTTCGTGGAAGTGAGTGGCGACGCTGCTATTGAAAAATTTAAAAACATCCCAAGGAATTTGCTCATCTCCTGGTTAGAGATTTGAATCGGCTCAGGGGTCAAGTTCTCCACGGCAGCTCCAGTCACTCTGGGTCTAGCTCTGAAAATGGTACTGTTTAACAATGAGGTGTTTAGGGTTGCACACACATCCCTGGGCCAGGCTGCACGTGGTGCTCTCTCAAAGGGGCCAGGTTTCCTCAACTTCCTATCCTGATCTAGCATCGAGTGCTTGCTGACTATTCAGCAAATGGCCAGCCTTCCAAGCACTGGATCCAAGAATAATCATCAGCCTAAGTACCCAGTATTCTCAGTGTTCAAAGTCTTTAATTAAGAGCAACTGTTCTTGTGCAGTCAAGTCTCTTGTTTTTTATTATGAAAACAGTCTATTTCAAGCTCAGTAATTTAAACATCCAGATTTATATTGAATTATTCATTTTTTAATTAACAGAATTGTATGGCTTATATTGATATTGATGCCCTCTGTTTCAAACATTTGGCAAAGGAGGTTGAACACATGCAAAAGAAAAAAATGGGGACTGGAGAGATGCTCAGTGATTAAGAGCATTGGCTGCTCTTGCAGAGGACCTGGGTTGGATTCCCAGCACCCACGTGGCAGCTGACGACCGTCTATAACTCCAGTTTCAGGGGAATCCGATGCCCTCTTCTGACCTCCATGGGCATTGTATGGCATGGGTGCATGCATACAATGATTACATACATGCAGCCAATACACTCAAAATAAAAATAAAATAAATTTTTTTTTTAAAAAGAGAAAAATTCTCACCTGTGAGCAGTCTCCCTGTAGAATTAGTTATGGTATCTGCTGTCTGGCCCTTTGATAGACTGTGGGAGTCACTCCTCTTTGGAATGAGTCAAGAGCAAGGCAGGGAAGAAATAACCAAAATGCAGTACCTTCCATCTAGTGGTCCACCACCAGCTTTTCTCCTTTGCCCATCGTTCATTGGGCCTGCCATCCATTACAGGTTACCAACCATGGCAACCTTTCAGACTTAATCCTAGTACAAACCTCACTAACTCCAAGCTCCTTTAGAAAATGATCTTCAAGAGCTGGATGTGGTGGTATACACAAGAATTTCAGCATTTGGGAGGCTGAGGCAGGAGGACCATACATTTGAAACCAACCTGGTCTACATAGTGAGACCCTGAGAAAAGAAAAAGAAAAGAAAATGATCCCAGTTATCTTGGAGTAAAGATGTCCTATATCTTTGATTTTAGGGGCCTTTTGGAGACCACCCAATCCTATGAACTTTCCTAATATACTCTAAAATACCTTTGAGATCACGGTGTCTGAAATGTATCAGTTTCTCATTTGAATATAAATGCTGATAACTCATTTTAGAGATGTTATCTAGGGCTAGGATGTAGTTCAGTTGGTAGAGGGCTTGCCTAAGCATATGTCAAGCCCTGGATTTGTGTCCCAGTGCTATATTAAATCAACTGTAGTTACGCTCTCCTATATAGTGAGTTTGAGGCCAGCCTGGGTTACATGAGGCCCTATTTTGTTTTGCTTTCTAAATATAACAATTTAAAACAATGTTAATTAAGGAGTGCCTTCTTAATAACCATTGTTAATTACTGTTCAAGCTGTATCATACTTTATCAGATTGTGAACTACTGTTTTGCAAGGGAATGAGACATTGGGGAGATGCTTTTTAGTGAGGAAGAGGGAGAAAAAAGCAGAGCAGCTGGAATGCAAATGGGACACGGCATTAATATTTAGCAATCAGGTCTTTCGTTGAATAAATACATATTGGGTACCATATTGGATACTGGACTACTGGTAGGGTAAAATACAGTCTCCATCCTGTAAGAGGAATTAATCAGATAACCTCTGTAATAGATGTAAAGTTGACATAAGGCCTCTGATCCCCCATAGGAGAAGGGAGAAGGGTTGGGGAGGTGCCGAAATAACCCTCTGGAAGAGATGGTAATGCTGGATGTTTCTGGCCACGTGTACACTGCAGTCTGAGGTTATGCTTCAGCGACATGGAGTGTGTTCATTTCAGGAATGATGGGGATTACAAGATTTACAAACAGTTCAGCCAAGCTCTGACTTAAATAGTGGTAATGCTATTAAGATTCCTGGACCCCATGTCAGCTTCTCTTGCTGTTCAAAAAATAACATCAAAGTTCACCTCCTGGCTTTCTTCACAGTAAATGAAGCAAGATTTGTTTTCATTTTAGCATTCACTAAGCTTCTTGGGTGCTTCATAAAATCACTCAGCCAAAGGGATGAAATGTGAGGTTATTACACTCCAGCATTGTTCCTAGGCTGTGGGAGAACAAGCGGCAGAGAGCCAGCTCTGCCCTGGTCGGCTCCCTAGTGATTAAGGAGGATTAGTGGAAAGTGTTTAAAATGGCTGAAATAAAAGCTTTGCAAACCAGAGCTCCATGCAGCCTCTCCTATCAAGTTGCTGTGTCTGTGCGCTTGCCCAGGGACGTGAGATGACATGTACATTCTTTAACCATGCTGAAGAGAATAGCAGAGCTATTTCAGAGGAAGAGACGGTACTTTCGAGGACAGCTCATGCAGGCAAAGAATAGCTTCCCCTTCCCAATCATTTTTCCAAAGAAAAGTAGTGACAGAGCCCTACCCCCACCAGCTCCCCATCTCCCAGCTCCCCGGGGCCCAAACCAGACAAGGGACAAGCGAGCCTCCTAACTTCACTCGTGAGTATTTCTAAATAGGATTGTTGGATCACCAAAGTGACTCACCAAAGCAATCCTATAAAATGATGATAATTATGAATGTCTTCATAAGTGTATGTAGTTCCTAATGTAGACACCAATTCCAGCCACATTACTATGTGCTAAATAGAATTGATTGCTTTCTTTTTACTATTTATAATACAGTTTCTGCAGGAAAGAGGAATGGAGCTTAAGGTACCCAGTGTGCATCTCCCTTGCTCTTCTCCTCACTGATAGCCTGGTGGGAAGGACAGCCCCATATTCTTCCCTCAGCAGTTGGTTCACTCCCATGCCCTCACCCAGAGAGGGGAGATTTTCCCAGGCTCCAGCATGATGAAGGACTAGCTTTGTTTTCTTTTGCTGTGTAAGATGCAGGTTCTGGGTCAGTGCGAGGAGGAACCATACCTCACTACCTGAGGTTGACCCATTGTCTCTCTCAAAGAAGACATCTATAGAGACACACTTGTGTCCGGTGCATCTGTGTGGCAGGCTGGCTTGCCCAGCACGATGTGTCTCATTAGATGTCTTCAGGCAGAGACTTGGTAGCGAGCCTGCTGTGAGGGTCACGGAGGTAGGGTTGCTGTTCTGGGAGCTCAGCTGGTTAGAGAGTAGTCATGTTTTGTTGACTGTTCATTATAGACCAAGCCAGGTATGGATAGCTTCATATACTTTATCGCTAAGCCATGTAGATACTGTTAGCTGTGGTCAGCTTCCATGGACCAGATGAAGATGCTAAAGCTGAATAATATGCATAAAATATGCACAAGATTGCAAGCCCAATAAGTGCCTGAGCCCAAATCTGAACTCAAACCTGCCTGATTCTATTTATTATTTTTATATTCTCATTCTTGTAACTGAAAGTGTAAAATGGTACAAATTACCTGTATAGCTGGGCATGGTGGTGCATGTCTTTAATCCCAGCACTCGGGAGGCAGAGGCAGGCAGATCTCTGTGAGTTCAAGGCCAGCCTGGTCTATATAGTAGACCAGGACAGCTGGGGCTACAAGGAGACCCTGTCTCAAAAAGACCAAAAACCAAACCAAAACAAAAAAACACCAAATTACCTGTATAACAGCACCCATATAGGTGACATTACTCATTAGGAATGTAATATGAACAGCCTGTGTGTCTCATATATTCAGTGCCCCAAGCATGTTAGAAATATAAAGACACTATGGTCTGACTGTCTGTGTGCTGTGTTCTCATAGGTTTATGGTATTGGGTGAGTGGACAGAGAGGAAGGGAAGAAAAGGGTCTAATTGTAAGGTGGTTGGCCCCTCTGAAAAAGAGCCTTTTACCAGGGACCCACCATCATGATCACTTAGCAGTGGCCCAGCCCAGTCCCCAGAAGAGTGACATGGAATTTGGACAGACACCAGATTGTCTACTGAGAAGTTTAAAATAGAAAACGGAGAGGCCTTTGGGTGTATTAAATGTTGCATGTTAAAATACTCAACTCTTCCTTTTCTCACTGGCTCCAGCTCTCACACTTTGTCTTTAAGTTGCCAACCCTATTTCTTTTCATGCTGATGGGAAATTCATGGTTCTCCCTTGGCATGTTCACCTTTAAATGTTCTGCTAGTCCAAGTTCAGCGATCATTTAATTATAAGATTATGAATGCCAGTAGAATTTCATATCCTCCAACCCTCTTTAGCCAGTAGCAACGGAGGACTCCATGAGCAGCTCTCCCCCCCACCCCACCCCCCTGCTTCCCCCTCTCCTGTTTGTCTTTGTGAGCATGAACTGCGTCAGCATAGGCAGGATACATGCCTTCTTCCCTGGGGAAGGTATTGAAGCCCGCCTCCCGGTCGCTTACCTCCCACCCTATAACAGGTTTGCTCCCAACTGGCATGACAGTTCCTGGGCTTCACCAAGGCAGCCTGGGCTGGTAGCAGAAGTGGTGGTTGTGGAAGGAGGGAGGCAACCCTTCCCCCTGTTATTTGAAAGTGCCAGGCAGCACTGGTGGTCCGCAGGGTGAGAGAAGCTGACCGTGTGCTGCTGTTGTCTGCAGCTTCCTGCTCGGTGGACTTGGAGAGGCCCTGCTGGTTTTCTCAGAGCAGAGGAACCCCTGAGGAAGTGGGCAAGGAAAGAAGATGCGCAGTTGCCCCTGGAGAACACAGCGCCTACCTCCCTGTTGAGAGTGTCGGAAAGAACGCAAGTACAGAGAGACCAACCTGAGGGCTCCAGGTAGACAGAGCCTGGGCCTGCATGTCCCTCAACCAAACTGAACAGTTTGCTGTTGATTCAAAGGCCCTACTTTCTCATTGCTTCAGGGAGGACCTTCTGGGAGACTCTGTGCTGCTGTAGAGGATGGGTCCATCTTAAATCTTACCATGCTGAGATATCTCCACTGTGCTGCACCCAATTCTGCAGAAACAGGAAGCAGAGGATTTGATTTTACCCAGATGACTCTGCTCATCTGGATGGACCTGCAGCCTCTGGGTACCAAACTCCTACCAAACACGGCTTTTGAATTCAAGGTCATTGGCCTATGGACACTGTGTCTTTACATCTTGGATTTTCCTCCTCCCCTTGCTGAGTTCCTAGCTTGCCTGGAGTCTACACCCTCCCATATAACAGCATAAGATTTGCATGCTCTTAAGGGCCTCCATCTGGGGCAGGGCAGGCATGGGGGTTGAGTGTGAGTTCTGTGCCAAGTGAGACTACAGCAGAGATCGTGATTGGCAGCCTTTTGTGATCAGTGTTATCTATTTCTAGCTTCTAAGCTTCTCTTGGTCCTTGTAAATTTGTTAGGATGTGTTGAACTCTGCAGACTCTTTTGACCACCATCAGGTTAACCTGGTGACTAATCGATTACCAGAGGTCTTCTAAGTACTGATGGATGCCTCTTAAACCAAACAGGCAATATATATTATGTATACACACCTTTTTTTTGAGATAGGATTCCTGTGTAGTCAAAGTTGGCCTGGAAGTCACTATGCAGCCCAGGTGGCCCTTAACCTCCTGTCCTGCCCCTGCGTCTCCAGTGCTGAGATTATAGGCATGCACTACCACACCCAGCTTTTATTTCTTAAATTATTTAACCTATTCAATTCCCTCATATCTCAGAAGAGATTTTCAAGTCATTGAACACTGACATGTCTTTCACACAAGATTAAAAATTGAAGTCCTATACCTTACCTATAGACAAGGAATTTATACAAAATGGTCATTTGATTCTCAACCCACCAAGAAGGGTTAAGAAAATAACGGTTCAATCTAAATATTTCCACTCATTAATTTTTAGAAATCTTTGATTTTTCTGACACTGTCAGAGAGCTTGGGTTATACTGAGGCCATCTCCCCGGGCCCTGAAGTGCTGGAGACCTATGTCATTGATGGAGACTCTCGTGCCTCTGAAAACCACTCCTTGTCCCAGGCTTAGATCTGAGAGGAATGAAGTCAGCTCCATTATTGCCGAATGTTTTTTTCTTACCTTGTTGGAAAATGAGACAGTAAAACAAAGGCTGGATGTGTGGATTTGATTAGTTGGTCGGTTGGTTAGTTAGTTAATCAGTTTTTTGAGATGGTCTCCTTATAGTCCCAGCTGGTCTAGAACTTACTACCTAGACCAGACTGGTCTCAATCTCAGAGATCTTTGGGCTTCTGCCTCCCAAGTGCTGGGATTAAAGGTGTGTGCCACCACTGCGGGCTGGGTGTGTGTATTTGGAACCTGTTCATGTCTTTTCCTGGTTGCTGTTTATCATTTAAGGTAAAAATATTCAGAGACCTTTATGCTTATGTAGTTTGCAACTTGCTTTTTTAAAAAATTTTTTTTAATTTAAAAATTTTGTGCATACATGTATGTCTGTGTGTGGTATGTGCATGTCCATCCTTCAGTTTCCATCTGTTTTCTGGGCTTTTTTCCTTCAAGGTGTAGTCACTATCTTTTATGCCCCTATTTACTTGCTCAGTTCTGAATACTGGGTGAGCTCAGAGATGAGGCAGGGACTCCCCTATCACCGTAGAGGCTAGAAGAGGGCCTCAGATCTTCCAGAGCTGGAGTTACAAGGGGTTGTGAGGAACCTGATGTGGGTGGTGGGAGCTGAATTCTGGTCCTCTGCAAGAGGCATGCACACTCCTAACCACTGAGCATCTCTCTAGCCCACAGCTTTGTTCTTTATCTAGGAGGATAGTAAATTTACTATACCAGGTAGATCAAATAGGAAATCTGGGTTTGGAATTTTCCTTTTTCTTTTTTATTTCCACAAAACGCAGTACTACCATTTTTTCCCACTTGCAGAAGGTGGTGTCTATCCATATGTCATCTTATGTCTGTGTCTGTCTTTCTTCGTGCCATTTAAGCAGATGGAGAGTCTTCAGCTGGAAAGAACCACACCATATCAAGCCGTCCCATTTCCAGCAGGACTGACCTCAAAAACTCTTAGTGAAAAGTTAGATACCTTTTGTCTTAAAGATCTTTTTTTGGTCTTTTTGAGACAGGGTCTCCCTGTAGCCCCAGCTATCCTGGAACTCACTATGTAGACCAGGCTGGCCTTGAACTCACAGAGATCCGCCTGCCTCTGCCTCCTGATTGCTGGGATTAAAGGCGTGTGCCACCACGCCCAGCTGTCTTAAAGATCTTTAATAAGGCCATTTCTGCATTTTTTAAGACCACATCCCAGAGTTCCATTGTTTAACTCTCAGGTGTTTTCTTATTGTGACATCAGGGAGAGACAGAGGAGGAGGGTTTCTTCCATTCTGTGTCCTTCAGTTTCCATCTGTTTTCTGAGCTTTTTTTTTTCCCCTTCAGGGTATAGCCACCATTTTTTGTGCCCCCATTCAAACGCTCAGTTCTGAATGCTGAATGAGCTCAGAGATGAGACAGGGACTCCCCTATCCCTGAAACACCCCCCAGATCTCTTCTGTGAGGCTTTCTGGGCCCAGGGCCCTTAGGTAGCCCCACAGTCCTGGTACCCTCATGCCTGTTTAGTTCTTTAGTTCTTTTTTTAAAAAATAATTTATTGAGAATTTCATACAGGCATATAAGATGTTTTGATCCAATCCATGCACACTCCCTCCCCTCCAGCTCCTCCAGTACTCCCCATCTTTTTTTTCTGACAGCTTTGTGTACTCTTTTTTTCTTTCTGCTACTCTAACAGTCCCTCCTCTGAAGAGGTAACCCTAAAATCTTTTAAGGAACAGAATATGTTGCTAAGAGGCCCAAGGACATTTTGACTTTCAGCCAAGAAACTGGCTGCTTTTCTTTGGGGTCTTTTTACCCTAACTGCCTAGCCAATTCCTACGTCCTATTCTTATCACCCCATCCTCTGAAGAGGTTACCCAAATTGCCAATAGGGAATTGGGGACACAGACTGTTTTGGCTTCTTCCATGCCGAACAGGGATACAGGGTGAGGCAATTGGGGTACCCCTTCAGTGGTTCTATCTAAAAGACTCCCAAATTGTATAACTCTCTCTTATCTGTAGGGGCAAAAGAAAGTCCTTAACTGGTGAATAGGAGATGTGAAGGAGAAGTAAAGGCAAGAGTAATTAGCATTACAAGTTCTAGACAAGGAACTAGAAAAAAGTCAGAACAGGGCAAATTTCAAATGTTCATATGAGAGTCCATTGGAATTTCTTGACAAGAGCTTCCAGAAGCAGCCCTCTGTTGGGTTCCTCCTCATTTTTCTTTTGTCCGCCAAGCCTAGGCTCGAGAGTGATGGATTCAGGATTTGCTTTCAGGCATTTTGATAGCTGTTGGAGTGCTTAGAATTAGTGTCAGTTCCCTCTCAAATGCTTCTAGATGGGGGAGAAAACAAATTTGGCCATCATTTTAGAACAATAGCGGGTTGTCTCCCTTAGCTACAGGTGGGCACTACAGTATTGGAGACCAAGATTTGAAGTCTTACATCTGAGCAGCACTTTCTGATTCAGAACAAAATCATTAATGAGGAAATAATTGTCTAAATAACGTTTTAACACCTGTTTAGTTCTTAGTCCTTGCTGGCTCCAAGTCAAAATCAGAGCATTTGGGGTTTTCTTTAATACTTTTAAAATAATTTTTGCATAAATAAAGAATATACTTTCAAGAGGGAAGATTCCATGTTATTGTGTATTAAAATAATCTGCTATGGCTATAAAGAAAAATAAACCATATTTTCCTGGTGATTTGCCTTTGTAATTCTTATCTTCAACCTCAGTAGGGGAGAATCATATAAAAGGTTGCTGGTGTCTCTGGGAGTTCTCATGTATTTTTTTTTTTTAAATTTTTAGATAGGGTGTCATATTGTAGTCCAGACTGACTGGAACTCAAGCCTGTCTCCTGAGTGCTTCTGTCTTAAACCCAGGCCCAGGCCCTTCCTCTACCACTTCCAGGCCTATTACTTCAAAGCACTGAAGGGCCCCACAGTCCCTCTAGACTGAGGCTGTTAGTTTCCCACTGGTCACTTGTGGCAGTAGAGGACAGAATCACTGCTGGCCAAATTCACATAAAGTGTGGGGACACACTCATTTAATATAAAACAAAATGATTCATATTAAAAAAATTTAGCAGCAAAGATATAATGTAAAAATGTCAAATCAGGCTGGGTGTGGTGGCACACACCTTTTCACCTTTAATCCCAGCATTCAGGAGGCATAGGCAGGCCAGCCTGGTCTACATAGAGAGTTCCAGACCAGCCAGGGCTACCTAATGAGATCATGTCTCAAATAAAAAATTTAAAAAAAAAAAGAAAAAAGAAAAAAAAGAATGCATTTCAAAAATTTTGTACTATTTATATATTAAAATACTACTTTAATTATCAAATATGAATAAGTGAATTGGAGATATATACTCTATGCATTTTCTTCTACCTTTTAAAATATGGTCACTCGGAAAACTCAGTTTGCAGATGTGGGGCACATTTTATCACTGTTGGTCAGAATGAGTCCAGAGTTGCTGTTGGCAGCAACTGCTGGGGTTCCCCGTACAAAAGTAGTATTTCAAGTTGCTGGCTGCTGATGCCCACCATATGCCACATGCTGTGCTGGGCATGCCCTATGCTGCAGTCTTTTGTATTGCAGGAGGCATTGGCTCTTCTTTCCAAGGAGAGCAGTAAGGTTTGCAGGGCTGCTTGTTTTTAGTTTCTTGTTGCTGTGACAGAGCACCTGACACAAGCAACTTAAACAGAGGAGAGAGTTATTCAACTCACAGTTTCAGGGGTTTCTGTTCATCATATGGGGACAATATAGTTAAATAGTAGTTAATTTCATGGTGAGAGAGAGAGAGAGAGAGAGAGAGCACATGAGTGAGCTTCCTCAGCTTACCTTGTCTGTCATCTACTTTGGATGGGGCTGGAGAGGCCAGGAACGCTTTGAAGATGGCTCTAATCTCACCTGAACCATCGCTCTGTTTCCAGAACAGTCAGCCTCCATTTGCTGTGTTCCTCAGGCTCATTTTTTTCTCAGGGGTTGGAATGACAAATGGCTAAGGATTTTGAAGTTTGAAGGGGGAGCAATGGCCTTCGGAGTCTGGGAGATGGTCTCTACAGAGGACACCCTTCACTTTTCTAGATCCTAAAAAGGGAGTACTGTCCCAGATCTGCCAGAAAACAAAAGGCAAATAATGTGGTGACTGGTCAGTAATGCTCAGTATGTGAACTCTACTGGGATGCTTTGGACAAAGCTTTGAAGAACATTGACTAGGAAACAGGTTCAAGTGGTTAGGACTCTTGGGATGGTTTTATGGTCCTTTGGTTCTTGTTCCAGAGAAAACAGCCTACAGGTGTGAGGCTCTTGGCCCTTTCCCAACCCTACCCAATGTCCTGGCTTCAGGCTTTGTCCCTGAGCCCAGCCAAGAAGGAAGCTGTTGTAGCTTGTCTCCAAAGATGTCCCCACCCAGTGCCCTATGTCATTTCTGTTCCTTTTCTTGAATCTGGGATGGCTTTGTGACTTGCCCATAGCCAATAGGCTATAGCAGAAGTGGTGCTGTGTGACTTCCTAAGCTAGGTCAAAAGCAGCCTTGCAGTGTCTGCCTTGGTCTCCTGGAACATTCTCTGGGAGCAGGAGCGACCATGCTAGAGAGACCAGGCACCTGTGTAGTAGTGAACAGACCTCTGAGCTGGCCTTGGAGCCACCCTACCATCTGTTGTGCATTCTTCAGACCAAATCACCAAGCAGCTGAATGCCATCAAG